TTTTTTTTTTTTTTTTTTACAAAGCCATTGTGTTAGTTTCCTATGGCTGTTATAACAAATTGCCACAATTTAGTGGCTCAAAACAACACAAATTTATTACCTCACAGTTTGACAGGTCAGAAGTCTTATAATCAAGGCAGTGGTAGGGCTGTGTTTCTTCTAGAGGCTCTAGGGGAGAATACATTTCTTTGCCTTTTACAGCTTCTAAAAGCTGCCTGCGGTCCTCAGCTCTTGGCCTCTTCCTCCATCTTTAAGGCCAGCAGCATAGCATCTTCAAATCTCTCTCTCTGATCTCTGCTCACACTGGCACACTTCCCTGGTTAGCTCTAGCCCCCCTGCCTCCCTTTTGTAAAGACCGATGTGACTGCACTGGCCACACCTGCAGAATCAAGAGTACTCTTCCCTTTCAAGATGCTTTATTTAATCACCTTTTCAAAGTCCCAAGTCCCATGGAAGGGAATATACCTATAGGTTCTAGGAATTAGGATGTGGATATCTTTGGGAATGGGGGCATTACTCTGCCTACTACAGCCATTTAATTTGGAGATCAGTTATGGTACATTTTTCCACAGGTACTGACTTACAATGTCCAAATTAAGCTGGAAACAAAGGAATAAAAACTCTACTGTGATATACTTTTTCATTACCCCAAACAATTACCATCGTATTCCTGCTAAGCACTTATATATATAAACTTACGACATACATTGTATGCGTGGGTGTAGAGTTGTACTTTCACATTTGAAGGCATATTAGCAGTTTCTGCCAGGTTAAAGATGAAGTAAGCTGTTTTCATCCTAGGGGTGGAGGGTGAGAATCTTTGTTAAAATCATGCTGTCAATTTCATAGTCAAAGATAAAACTGCCACACTTTCCCACTGATAAAGAAAGTACAAAGCCCTTCATCGTATTATTTTTAAGATCATTCTCTTATTCATGGAAGTTTACTCGGGAACAACCGCAATCCTCCATTTCCCCCCACTGCCAAGACATTGCATTCACACTGATTTCCATCTCTTTCAGAGAAAAACCTGACACTCATCACTATCACACAGGGCTCTTCCTCCAGATGTGCGTTATTGTTATGCAAAAGCAGCTGTGAAGGGGAGACTCTCTGGGTTCATCAGCACATGCCTGAGGATTCCCATCATGACCGCTCAGGGCATGTGTGCCTGGTTCTTCAAAGGTGGCGGACTCTTTGACCACATGAACGCATCTAGATTATATTCAGCACACCAATTAAAGCAATACCTGCCCAAATAATGACCTGCTTTCTTATTTTATGAGATCTTCCCCCCAGTTTTCTCGCATTCACTCACAGTGAATTGTGCAAACATATGGTATATCTTTGATCAGTTTTTCAAAGTATTTGTCCCTATACCTAGACTGATAATTCAAAATATGCTGCTCTCTGACTTATTCAAAATCAACCAAACCAAAAACCAAACTCATTGCCATCAAGTCGGATCTGACTCACAGCGACCCCTCCTTGGGTTTCTGAGGTGGTATCACTACCCAAGTAGCTTGCCCAACCTTTCTTCCAAAGAGTGCTGGTGGGTTTGAACCACCAGCCTTCTGCTTAGCAGTCAAATGCCTTAGGCACTATGCTACCAACTGCAAAAATTATAGTGTTTCTTTTTTATTTCTGAAAAAATTTTAATATATTATCAAAATCTTAACCAAGTAATTGTATAATTATATACAATTGTATAATGAGAAAATTTGATTTACAGCTTCATTATATAATTGTTGTTGCTGTTGTTAGGTGCCGATGAGTGGGCTTTGACTCATAGTGACCCTATCTACGTGCAACAGAACCCGACAATGCCCGGTCCTGCACCATCCTCACAATCTTGGCTATACTTGAGCCCACTGTTGCAGCCACTGTGTCAATCCATCTCGTTGAATGTCTTCCCTTTTTTCACTGACCCTCTACTTTATCAAGAATGATATCCTTCTCCAGGGAATGGTCCCTTCTGACAACACGACCAAGGTCCTAAGCCTTCAAACCCAGTAAACTAATCCTGTGTTTGATTATGTCTTGGAGGTATCCATAACTGTGCCCTCTAGATGCTTTATTAGATAGATGATATGATATGTGTAGTGTATCTATATTTGCAGTCATTATTTTGAAGCTTTACTTCTTGCTAATATTTTTTCAAACATATCTTAAACTTCTATAAGTTATTTTTGTTGTAGTCATTAGCTGCCATTGATCTGGCCCGACTCACAGTAACTCCATGTGTCACAGGATACAGCTGCTCCATCGGGTTTTCTTAGCTATAATCTTTATGAAAACAGTCTG